AATGCAGTAAGCAAATCTTGTTTTTGCCCTTAAAAATTTCTTGTATTTTTAACTTGAATATTCAGTTTATTACTTCATTTTGTGGAGATACAACTCCAATCATACACRAGAACTTTTTTTGTCATGTGATTTTTTTCTCTTCTTGTTTTATTTATTGGTGAAGTAGATTTTTCAACAAGCAAATGATAATCCTCTTTTATTCAAAGTCTTATATTGTTGTTCAACAATTTCAATGGAGTTCCTTTTTTGTGTTCTTGCTTCTTATTTTCTTTAYTCTGGAGTAGGGCTACAAACAGATTAAATCGAATTTGAATAAGGGCATATCTGAATTTAATTCAATAAGAAAAATATAAGATTCAAATTTGATCCAAATCCATTGGATATTCAATTATCCCTATTCGAATTCAATTTGACAACATTATTGGATATCCCATTTGAATTTGATTTGATTCGACTATAGAAAAAATACTATGTTTCAGAATTTTTTCTACAAAAGAAAAAGAGATCAGAATGAGAAAGGTATCCAAAAGAACCAAGAGTACACTACAATACGCCAAGAAATCCCAAAAAAGTAAAAAAGTTGAAGCAAGATGAAGCATAAAAATGTAAATACACAAGTTTGATCTAAAGAGAGAAGAAAGATCGGTTTTTTGGAGGGAGATTATAAAGGYTTAAACATGGAAGGGTTGAGATGCTCATTCCTCTTCTGAAAGATCTCAGTTGCTTGTAGTCCCACATACAGTGGAGGAGAGGTTGAAGGGGGATATTTTCTTTTCTGCAAMCTGGAGAACATTACCACTTGTCGCAGGTTGCTTCTCTTTGGGCCATCTAGGAGAATTGGGGATGACATTTGCTTCAGCAAGTGGCTGTTATTGGAAACACACACACACACACACACATACACACACAAGATATTTCATTTTCTGCTATGTTTTTAAAAACAGAGTATGTCTTACTTACTGGGAATGTTTCAAAGAATAGAGTTGTATGGTGGGAATGTGAGCAATCTTGGGCCAGTTTTCTTCTCCCTCTCATAATCAGCTCCTTGTTTCTTCAAGGCACAGCCAAATTATCAAAGAATGGAGGCTGTTAGAAGCTCCTCCTCCAAACAGACTTGGTATTTTGAGACCAGTAGATAGAAAGAAGTATACGAGACTGGATGTATAGATCTTTGATTTGGAAAGTGAGGCAAGATCTTGTAACCCAGCATCCTCCAAGATGGGTTTCAATTTATTGGTAAGTCTGGGGATGACAATTTTTTCAGCGAGCAGCGATGGTGATAAGGCAGCAACTAGTTTAGGTTAAGGGTTTGATTTGGAAAAGCAAAGAATTTCAGTGACCAACTCTATTTGAGATTCTATCTTGAATCGATCGAGGACTTTGTTTTAGATTTATTTAGTTGGACCTTTTTAAGTCCAGCTTCTAATGGATTATAATGCGTTTTAAATATTCGTAATGGGGGTATAAATGTCTTTTAAATAACATACATGTAATATATAAAAATTATATAAAATATATTGAACTGAATCGGAATTTAGCAGATTGAGTCAGGGGATATCTGGATTTAAACTGATAACTTAACAGATGACAGTTTCTGATTCGATTCAATTTGATTAGTTCTTGGTGGATTTCTGGATCCAGCATAAACAGATAGAATTTGAATTCAAACCGGATCGATATTTGATCATTTGCAGCCCTACWCTGAAGCCTGCTTAGTTCTACTTAAAGGTGGACAATTAGTGTGTTTATTTAATCGGATCGATATTCGAAGGTTTTCTTTATCCTTACTCTGGCTAAACAGTCAGCTATCCAGTGGAACAGGTCCAACAGGATGCACTACTCCTTGGCATCCAGCCTCTCTAATGCAATAATATACATCCATGAACCATCTCCCTTGTCCCTCACCCAACCTATCACCACCTTTAAATCCCCCTCTACATTCACTTTAATTTTTAAGTAATAATAAAAAAAATTATTATCATATGTGAGTTTGAAGATGTACAAAAAGACACTTTACAATATAGCCTGCAATGCTTTAGAGTTTACTCTATACCACCCTCTATACCTAAAATAATAGACCAGTTAAATACACAATTTGTTTTCTTAAAACAGCTGAAATATTTAAGAGACAAGACCCAATCCATAATGAGACTGCTGTCATTATACAGAGCCTGGGAAAGTCTTTATCTCTTTTCCATAAAAAATGGTCTATTTCTCTCTTTCCAAATGCACCAACTTGTAGCACAGGGAATCATAGACCACATAATAGAACCTCTGAAACCAAGAATGGAGGATCTTTCTTACCAATTTATGGTGTGACCGAGAGAAAACAAACAAGAGACTGAATAACTTCCAAAAGGGGCACCCAGTGGGCACAGCAAGAAAAGATGATCAGCAGGTTCATCCCTCCTCTCACCACATACAACACTTGTTTTGGATGGTCTACCATAAACGCCTTATAAAGGAACAAATAGATGAAAGATTCAATTCTAGGAGGAACCTACCTTCCCCACATGCTATTATAATTGATAGAATAAGTGAAGCCACATAGAAAGAGAAAATTGGGAAAATTGCCATCTTGTTCCTCCTTCAGAGCCATCTCATCCCTCCTATCTGGGAAGATGGGACTGCGTTAAGCTTCTGCAACAGGGATGGAAGAATCCATATTTTATGGTTTTATCTCCTAACCTAGATTATGCAACAATTATGAGCCTCTCAAAGAGACAGTGGAAGAGTTATATTGAAATAATTAAAAGAATGTATGTTAGATAGGATTTGACAAAAAATTTCAGTATTTCTTTACATTGGTTTTTCTTGGCATTTTCTTCCCTTAGCTGGGATTGTACTTGTGTCCTTAAAGATGCAATTAAACATTTTAACAAGCTAATTTCCTTAATTCTTTTCTTAACCATTAATCTGCTTAGTTCATTTAATACATGTAATGTTTTTCTAGATGTAAAATCCATGGCYCTTGGCTAACAAGGTTGTCATCAGCCATACAATCACTGAGTATCTTCTAGCAGGAAAGTCATGGTTGAATTTTCTGTCATCATTTTATGATCATGCCTTCTTATTGGGTTAGTAAAAGAAGATGATGAATGCCTCTATGTATCAAGGCAAAGCTAGGCAACAGAGGGGTGCCTAGACATTGCCTAGTATGAGTCTTTTAAAATAAAAAAATAAATGTAATCCTAGGGTAGTTCCCTAGGTTTCATAGTAATAAGCAGTAATCTTTAACTAATAATTACCATTAAAGAAAATATGCCT